ACTGCAACTGAGTTGATAAACCCCATAGGGAGAACCCGACTTGTCAGGAAACAAGCTTCCTTCACACCATCAGGCTTCAGGCTTTCAGGCACCTCTCTCCCGAACGCAAGGAGCGGGCGCCAACAGGGTGGCAATCCTACAACATAAAACATCGCTTTGATGTCTTCTGAAGAAATAAGGATGCTTTCGTCCGGAAACACTTCTAGAGGGAAAAGCTGACTGAGCATAGGAAGGGTGTGCAAGTCTCCTGACACAGCTTCAAAAATTTGATTAATAGGCCGCAAATCCATGATCAATCTGAAGACTGGGGTGCCCTCATGCTCCTCACCCTTTGGTACGCCGAAAAGGCCACCTAGGATTGGTTTACTGTCAACGTGCAGCACTTGACTCAATGGGATGACATCACAAATACGTCTATTCACCAGTCCTTGGGCAACCTCATCCCAATGCTCACTTGCAACCATCACTCTTGGGGCCTTCATCCACGATCGATTCCCTTCTGGCTTCAAGTACTTGACAGGATTGCTAAGGAAATCTTTAATGCCGCCTGATGAAAGATCGACACCGTCTAAAATGCCTGCAAGTTCACTAGAGGGCAAACTGTGCTCTACGTTTGCCCATTTGAAGGGCAGAGCTGAATGAATTTCCTCCCCGTATCCATTGACACTCTTCGAACGCCAGTAAGATTCAATAGGGGTCGAATCGAAGCAGTAAGTCCCCAACTTCCGGACACCCAAAAAGGATTCTTGCAAGACTGCCAACAGGGATGCTTGAGTGCCACTTGCAGGCCCATCGGCAATTGTCAGCTCACCTACCGCTAACCAATTAAGGGCTCTCACGGCGGCCTCCATCCAAGCATGCTCAGCGTAGGGCAAACCCTCCATGAGCATCGGCAAAGGAAAGACCTCTGCCATGGATTGATGCTTGCTTGAGACTATCTCCACATTGGGCCGCAAGTGAGGATGGGATTGCAGCCACCGCGCAAGCAGGGGTCCAAGCTGACTCAAAGGGCCTTGCAAATCATGCGGCAATGTGATTTCACTCTCCTCCCGAAGCCTAGGAGGACTGGCATCCGAAACGCTGATGACACTGGCTACACCCTCACTGGCACAACTTCGCTCNNGCTCCTTTCGGATGGTTCCATTTTCCTTTCCCTTTGGGATCCTTTCCCTTTCCTCCCTTGGCCCCCTTGTCTCCCTTCGTGGTCTGATCCTCCCGAAAGTTCTGACTCCAGGGAACGCCCCACTTCCCCTTTCCTTTGGGATTCCAGGAGGAAAGAACCTTGTCCTCCCGACGCTGCTCCTGCGCTGCAGTCCTGCTTTCTTCGATCGACGCCAAAGCTGAACCGTCTAGAGGGATCAACTCCAACCGGTTTGCAAGAAGAGGCGGAACTCCCTGGCTTATCTGCTCCACAGATTTCAGCCGCTGCACGGCGATATCCAGCCCTTTCAATATGTTTCCCTCTAGCATAGAATCTAGGCACAGAGCTAGAGTTAAATATTCTCGCTTCATGGGGGTCGATGCTCCCGAATTGGAAAAGATCTGCCGATAGTATTTTACGAACACCGGCCCTGGGCTCGAGTTTCTGGACTCCTCGCCTACCCCTGTTGTCAATCTCCTCTTGGCTTCCTTGATTGCATGACGAGCCAGCAAACCCGGACATTTCCTCGCGATGTGATGAATCTGACCTTCCTCTGGAAACAAGTCTTCCTGGTCTGACTCCTGGCTTTTCGAAGCTCCCGAACTGCCCGAGGAGGAACTGTCCTCCCGTTTGCGTTTCAGGCCCCCTCGGGGGCGACGGAAACTCGGATCTAGCGATGAACCTTTCCAACTCCAAAGGCTTTGCTTCAACATGAGCTTGACTCTTTGCTTCCCTCTCAGCTTCTTGGCTTTTTCGGGAGGCTCGGCTACCTCCCGCCTCTCGCAAGGAGGTGGCACTAGATCCACTCCTCCCGGACTCACACCGTACCCCAAGTCCCTCGCAACATCTACCAGTCCTGGCAGGCCATCTCCATCCCTCATCAGATCGGTCAGGTTTGATTTCCACTCTAACAGCGGGTCGACCTCTTTCACGTCGTGAGCACAAAACAATCCCTCCACTCCCGGGTCCAAAGGCTTCAGGAGAGGTTTGCGGTTGACATAAAACTCTTCGGGATGATCCCTCCGCCATTCCTTCAAAGGAACGTGCGGGGTGCCTGAAAGCTTCAGCTTCACCCACTGCCCTTCTCGATCGTCCACTAAGCCCTCGACTTCGCCGACAATCTCTGTGGACTCCCCTCGATAGGTCCCCCTCAGGTGAAC